AGCCGGTGAGTGAGGAGGAGGACGTGTATCTGTACAGCCGGTGAGTGAGGAGGAGGACGTGTATCTGTACAGCCGGTGAGTAAGTGAGTGAATACGGGCGTCAACGTATTAGCCAGCGAGCCAGCGAACCGTGATTTGCACGGTCAGTTTTGAAACTGCACGGCCAAAAATGTGTAGCACGGCCTAATATATTGATGTAAAGTCGTGTACATTTGTCAAATTGCACTCCCAAATATTTTTTCTGCACTCCCACAATACTCATTCCTGGCTAATGCCCTGACGGGTGGGTGTGTGTGCGCGTAGGAAACGCGTATAGCTATACGAAGTACATACAAAACGCAGTTTTTTTGTCAGTATAGCTATACGCGTTTCAAACCGAGTATAGCTATACGTGGTCGTTCACACGAGGAACATTTGTTCTGAGTACGCTTACGAAAGTGAGTCTTAGCTACGTGTGACCGCGATATTAAACCGACTATCTAACGAATAAATCAAAAAACTGCATAAGTGTAGACAAATACGTAGTACGTCACATACGACGTTTTCGCCGTCTGCATTACGCGTCACTTACGACGTTTCTGTCGTCTGCGCTGCATCACATACGACGTTTTTGTCGTCTGCGTTGCGCGTCACTTACGACGTTTTCGTCGTCTGCGTTACGCGTCACTTACGACGTTTCTGTCGTCTGCGATACGCGTCACATACAGCGTTTTTGATGTGCGTGCGTGTTTATGTGTGTGCGTGTATCTGAAAATATTTCAAATAGTAATAATAACCCATTACGTCACTTACGACGTTCTTGTCGTCTGCGTTGCGCGTCACTTACGACGTTTTTGTCGTCTGCGTTGCGCGTCACTTACGACGTTCTCGTCGTCTGCAGCTCGCTGGCGGAGGCCGGCTACGCAGACGTCGCCCTCAACTGCGAGGCGGCGCGTTTCCTCGCGGCGGCCGTGCGTCGTTGCCACGGCGACGCATCCTCGCTCATCGACGCCGCACAGTGGGATTTCGTGCTGTGCAGTGCTGTCGCATGGATGCAGGTGAGTGATTAACAAATAATAGTGTAGATAGTATCGATTATAGATAATATATATAATAGAATAGCTAGGAGGAGGAGGAAGAAGAGGGGGTGGAGGAGGAGGAGGCGGGAGGGAGGAGAAGGTAGGTTGGCATACATGCAGTGGGATTTCGTGCTGTGCAGTGCTGTCGCAGTGGTTAACGAATAACAGAATAGCTCTGACAGGGCATGAAATTCTGCACCGGCCCAGAGGACTGGCAACAGCACTTTTTTACCAGCCCTCACCATAATTTACCAGCACTCAGAAATTTTTACACAAATTTTTTGACAATTTTTTTAGACTGATAAAAAAATGTAATTATTATATATTGTGTATTATTATTATATTATCTTCTCTCTCTCTCTCTCTCTCTCTCTCTCTCTCTCTCTCTCTC